GATGGGCAGAGAGAGAAGGAGAGAGAGAGAATCCCAAGAAGGCTCTGCACTGCCAGCACAGAGCCTGATGTGGGGCTCGAACCCACAAACTGTGAGATCATAACCTGAGCCGAAACCAAGAGTCAGACGCTCAACCGACTGAGCCACCCAGGCGTCCCTTCTTTTCTGTTTTTTTAAAGATTTTATTGTTAAGTAATCTCTACACCCAATCAATGTGGGGCTCAAAACTCAGACCTGAGATCAAGAGTTATATGCTTCACTGATTGGGTCAGACAGGTGCCCTGGTTGAGTTTTCTAAATTCACATTATGCCCTGTCTTATCCCCATAATCCTGTGAGTTCCTTTTGCTCAAAGGAACAGAAATTGTAAAAACAAAAACAAAACCAAGTGCAAGAATGATCAGGAACTATCAGCAGTTCAGCTAGTATGTAGTGGGTAGTGGCCCTCATACGCAGAACACACAGATGATGGAACTGAAAAATGGGCAGAGGCCAGATGATGAAGGCCTCAGAAGATCAAGTTCAATAGTTTGGATTTTATCCTGCATGTAGTCATTGACAAGTTTTCAGTAGGGAAATAACATGACAGATATTTATTCAATAAGTGAAATAGCAAATGTATTAGGGGAAAGTTTCTTAGACACAGTGACTTTGAGAGTGTGTCCAAGCTTACTACTCATTAACCAGGGGATTAGCAAATCGATAATATGATGTGCCAGTTTGAAGTGACTGAGAAATCTCCCATTTAGGGGAAGGGACCTTTATACGAGTAGCTAGACTGCCTCATATAATACCACTTATTTTCAAAGAGTTGTAAAACATAGAGGTACATCAGTCAGAACCATCTTCCCAGAGTTGTCACATGTTATCTGCAGAAATAATGAGTAATATATCTGAGATACACAGGTTTAGCAAATTGATGCTATCAATCAGGCATTTCTAACAACAGGTTTTATCCCCTGACAAGGAGCCAGTTAGCACCAAGGCCCAGAGGTCTGCTTTTTCTCAAGCAGCTCTCAATAAATTTCCTCAGGACACAATTACAGATGCTAAACACACAGTTTGCTTCATTTTCAGTTTGGGGACAATTTCCCCCCCTCAAATGGAAAATGAAACCAAGCTAACTTCATGAAAGATTGCAAGGGGGAAACATACATCTGTTTCAGAGCCTCCTAACGGCCCTCTTGGTAATGGGGCCTTCCTTGAGACCCAAATAATCAAAACTGAAAGTTTCTTGAATCATCTTATACAAAGAGAGTCAGGTGGCTCCAAAAAGAGTTTGAAAGAAACTTTTTGTACTAAAGCTTAATTTTCACTTCTTTATAATTTGGGTAAATCTTACAAGATACCCAGTATGTAGATATTAAGCAAGTAAAAGCTCATGGCAATATCCCAGAGTCCTTTTTTTTTTTAAGTTTATTTATTTATTTTGAGAGAGAGAGAGAGAGAGACAGACAGACAGACAGACAGAATACATGCATACACAAGCGGAGGAGGGGCAGAAGGAGAGGGAGAGAGAGAATCCCAAGCAGGCTCCACACTGTCACTGCAGAGCCCTACATGGGGCTTGAACTCACAAACTGTGAGATCATGACCTGAGCCAAGATCAAGAGTCGGATACTTAACTGACTGAGCCACCCAGGTGCCACTTATCCCAGAGTCTTTACTGCTGAGATTTTGGAAAACGTTACGTTGCTAGGTTAATTTCTTCTTTATTCAGTAAACAATTCTTAAAGACCCTTAAAAAGAGAGTCCACCTACCTGATAAGCAACAAATTATAAGAGGGATGTGTTTTAAAGTGCTTGTCTTCCTTCTTGACAAGCCAGAGAGGTGGAAGGAATAGCCATATCTCATCTCAATCATCTGCTTGCCATTCCTAAAGCAGTCTTGTCTCAAGGTTTTTCAGAGAGAAGAGTAGATATCTAGTTGCTTCCTCAAAAAAAGTGTTCTAATTATGCTAGGAGACCCACTTTAAAGTAAATCAATCATTGCTTATGGCCTACAGTTTTTCCTGTTGTACAACATGACTTCCTGCAATTGAAATCTTAGCCCCTTCCCTCTAGCCTAATCCTAGGTGAAATCACAGGCTCTATGTGGTCTGCGACCTGGCAGACCTACAGAGACAGAGAAAACCTAAGCCTGGCAGGATCTGACTCATCCCACAAACCTGGGCTCATTAATACCTGGAAAATTAAAATACAACACAACTATCATGAAGTCTTCATGAACTGGTAGCTGTTGACCTGCTTTCTCTAGGCTTGAACTTTATCCCAGGACATTTTAGCAGTTAAGGTGGAAGCTAGACATTTGCCAGCGATTATTCTTGAACAAGAACTGGATGTGGAAGTTGTGTTTTAATTTCCTCATATTCCCCCAAAAGAGGCCAAGTCTGAGGTGTCCCAAGGTCAGAACTTAAGTGCATTCACTTAAAATAGTTTCAGTGGTTTTGAATTTGCCCAGGAAAGAATAGTCATCTTGAGAGACGAAAGAAATCCTCGGCTCAAATCCAGCCCAAGCCAGAGGTGCTCAGGACATGGTGACCCTTGTTCATGGGAAGCTGCCAGGCAAGGAGTCTAGATCTGGTGATTTACAAAATTTAGAAATCTTTCCCACCACCTCAAAGAAACCTATTCATGAATGACAATGTATTTAAAATATGAATATTATAACACTTACTCTCTGCTTTGAATACTGCCAAAAGATGATCTGAAATTAATTCTTCCACTGAAGATTCCAGCTTCCTTTCTCCATCAATTATCCAAGGAGTTTGCGGTAGATTCCTGGAATATTTATTATATCTCCCTGCCAAAGAAACATAAGGTAGCCTGGATGGAATGATATAATTAACATAATAAGATAAAACAACTATATATTGAGTGCCAATATCCTAGGTGCCACGATACAAAGCAAGGCTTACCCTTCAACTAACTTACAATCTAACTTGGGGAGCCAGCATACAGACATATAAATAATTAAATTAAAAGATTTAAGGTAACAATAGAAGAGATGGTTAAAGACATGATATGAATCATCAAATGAGCTCTAAAGAAATGCTCAATAAAAAAAAATAAAATGTTCAATATATTTATTAATCCGATTGGCTGGCTGAACAAGTTATACTATGGAACACACCAAGGGTCATTACCAAAAAACCCAGCAACTACTGCTTTTATGCCTGATTAATAATACTTTAATGCAATACTCATTGGTGATAATATATTCCAAAGAGTTCAAATACGGGAAATTTTGAAGTTTTTTAATTAAAAAAAAAAAACCAAACAGAAAATGACTCACTGCTTTATGAAGAAAGCTGCACTATGGCAGGTAGCTTTCATTACCACAGGGCAGAGTATTATAGTTAAGACCACGAAACAATTTCATTTCAGCCATTACTATGAAATAGATGTAGCTTTCAAAACAAAAACTATCTGCTAGATTACCTCTTGGGAAGGTCAATGCAACATTTTTTTATTTTTAAGCAGAAACTCAAATCTTCAGTCATTCTGCAGATAATAAAATTATTTTTTTCAAGTTTGCTTTTATGCTTTCTGTAGCTATGTTTCTCCCTATCAGTTTCGGGTCTCTGCATCTACCCATATTTCTATGGGTATTGGCCACCTCTGATGGAAACTATTAAAACTTAAGAAGTGTCATTTCCCTTTGGCATGGTATTTCAAATAACCAATCTGAGTGGACCTTGAGAATACCTACAGAAGCTAAAATAAGCTTGACTATCAGTCCTAGTTCTCAAAAGAGTTAATTAATCAGAACCTGATAACAAAAATTAAAAGGAAACAGAGGAGAGGTGACTTGAGTTTTCAGAAAGGATAGTAAGTTGACAGCGTAAGTATATTCTAGACTAAATATTTTACCAGCCACAAAAACAGCACCATGAGCACACTCAATTTCAAGAACAGTGCATACAGCCTTTGGTGAGTTTGGAGGACAAGGAAACTGCCTGCAAAACAAAATAAATTTTACAGCTACTATTTTCCAGAAAAGATATTGAACCACATAACTAGGATGAATCAGCATTGTCTGAGACACACGGAACCCGAGTCTCTCACGGACTAAGCCACTCCCTAACTTTAAGTTTTGAAATCATAAAGATCTTTTACACCTCAAGTACACTTTAATACACGAGAGTGACACAAAGTAAATCAGGGCTCTGCTACTACCTTTCACTCAGGAGGCTGCATGTTCCCAGATGATAATTTCTAACAGCCTTGAGATCTGAGAGAAAAACCCATATTTATGAAGTGGAAGCCTCTCCAGGGTCTTTCGCCATCTTGCTCCCTATGAACAGTTGGTGCCAGCTTAAAAAATCGTTAATCATTTGGGTAAAGCTGGTAAGTCCCACCTGTGGGGAGGGTCTCCACCAGTTTTCTCTCTTTCTCTTTCTCATTCCAACTATGACCTTGGGAATTAGATCACACACAGGGCCAGAAAAAGTGGAATGTGGCAGACTCTGCCCTTTTAACTAAAAAACTTCAATCTGAGGACAGAAAAGAGCAATGTATGGCTTTATTTTCTGTCTACCGTCTGGGAACTTCCAAAGCCATGGACTGGAGTCTACCTGTAAATGACTCAATGTGGATGGACTCCAAATGCTTGGCTTGAAAATTTCATACAGTTTCCTAAGATGTCTTAACAAAAAAAAATGACTTAGAAGTTCAGGACCTATTGCTTGCAAAGAGAGGCTGACTTTACTTTCTAAAATTTAGTGTAAGTATTTCCATTTCCTGAGACTCACTTTCAGTCAATAAAATATATAAAACCTTCCTCACAACTTTATTGTTTGAAATTTATTCAAGGATATTCTGGAAAGGTAACCATGATATTATATTGAACAAAATGAATACAATGAGAATTAAAGTATGAGGTTTATTGTATTTCAGCATATTTTAACAAGTGAAGGGCCTTTTTCTCCCTCGTCTTCAGATGGACAATACTCAAAACGGGGGATGTAATGGGACCAACTCTGGGCTGGAGAGACAGGAACCCTGGCTCTAAGCCTATTCTATTACCCAGTTGAAATCTTAGGCAAGTCAACTCCCTCAACATGCTCTTCTAAAGATAAAGAAGTTGGATTTGACTCACCAATTCAAATACCAGTCCAATAAACATTTACTGAACACTAGTACATGCCAGGTACTGAGCCAGGGATTTGGGAATATAATAATGACTAAGACACAATCCTCATCCCTGAAATACATCCAGTCTTGTTTTAGAGACTGGATGTTAGATTATCTCTAACATTCCCTTTATTCTAAAATTCCATGATGCCGCCATGTTTCTATACTTCTACTCACTTGCGGAAATCCTCTTCTTTTATCTTATTCAACGCTTTCATAACTGCCATTCTAGTGAACACTGACTATATAAGGTAAAATGAAAAGAAAAGACATTTTATCACTCAGACAAGAAAACATCAAAGGTGAAACACAGAACATAGTTGGGGAAATTACATCATTTTAAAGGAGAGAAATACTTAATAGCTTCAAGAAGGTAAAACATAAGCATTTATTCCAGCAGTTCTCCCCACAGCCTTTCTTTTCAATCTAGTCTGTGTCCATAACACCATGTAGATCTAGCAGAACAGTTCAGCAGTTGGTTGCCAGGCTAAGAGTAAATAGAGCCAACAAACCCGCCCTGGCATCTAGCAGCTCAACACCACTCGCCAACCACAGAGAAAGTAAACAAATTCACTGTAACAGAAGGGCATCTATAACAAATGTCCCACTTTGGGTTTTTTTTAAATAAGAAAAGTCAAACCATATGGTAGACATGCTAGAACAAATTAGTGTATATGTACATGGCTTACTATGATAAATTACAATTACTTCTTCTGTTTTGTGAAATTACACTTGACTAAAAAGAGGCACAATGTAGGTCTCTCAACAGTTTATCATCAAATCAATGACTTTCTAAACCATATTTTGGAGAACCCCAAATTATAGGGTTAAAACTGAAAATTCAGTTCCTATTTGTTAAGATATGAAAACTTAAGCCTGAAAGAATCTCAAAAGGTTATTTAATTTGCTCTCAGCAATAAGGCAGGAAAACTACATACATTATACCACTGGCCAAATGATGTGGTATCTGTGATGCTTGTTCTACAATTTGGTGCTGGTACCTGTATATTTCCTCAAAGATAACAAACAATACAATGAGATCTTCAATATAAACATGGCTACAGGTCATTTGGGCAGAGCTTTCCAACTAGTATGGCAAAGCAATGAGCTACAGTTGTGCCAAGATGTTGAGCCCTCTAATTCACAAGGGCCAAAGAACCCCTAGACCAATTGCTTCCAGATTAGAGCAACTTGTTAACTTCAGGGTGCTGAAAAAACATGGTAATGTTCTAGGTGTATCATGATGTGAGAAAGGTGGGAAGCAGTGCTTTAGACTTTCTCACATTTAGACTTGCTGCACAGGGAATTTGACAAATGGTGCCAACTCTGTCTCCCATCCCTCAACACCCCCTCTCCCTACCACCCCCTGGTTCCAAAAGGCTCAGCAACCAGTCAAAGCAAGAGTAAAGACTAACAGATGTATCTTTGGCAATGAATACACACACACACACACACACACACACACACACACACACAAACACACATATATGTATATATACATATATACATGTATATATACACCATGTATATATACACTAATTTGTTCTAGCATATCTACCACATACACACACACACACACACACACACACACACACACACACATTTTTTAGAGCATGTGCGTGCACGCATGTTAGCAGGGTAGGGGCAGAGGTAGAGAGAGAGAGAGAATCCCAAGAAGGCTTCGCACAATCAGTGCAGAGTCCTACGTGGAGTTCAAACCCACAAACCTTGAGATCATGACCGGAGCTGAAATCAAGAGTCAGACACTTAACCGACTGAGCCACCCAGGTGCCCCAGGAGAGAGAATCTTAAGCAGGCTCCACGCTCAGTGCAGAGCCCAATGTGGGACTTGATCCCATGGCCCTGGGACCATGACCTGAGCCAAAATCAAGAGTCAGACACTTAATAGACTGCGCCACCCAGATGCCCCAAGTTTATATTCTTTTTAACGACCATAAGGGTAAAATGGATGTCAGTAAAAGTAATGCCTGAATCTTCACATAAAACCAGGTAAGTATCTGTGGCATGAAAGCTTGCCAATATCGTTGCCTTGCCATTCTACCCTGGCATAGCAGAAACTGAAATGCATGCTAACTATTTTGCTCATTAACATGAAAACCAGCTCACATCAAATAAAGGGGAGTTTGTATAAAATGCCCTTTTGCAAATGTAGCCTGAAATAGGCATATTAAGTCAGATTGTCCTAAGTAAAATAATTTATTTCGGATTATATTTCTTAAATACCAATTTCTAGAAAATGAGTATTAGACAAAAGTTTGGAATGCTAATAATTAACATGGATTTTCCCCAATGATGCAATTTTGGGAATAAAACCTCAAAGTTGAATTTCCCCAAACGGATAACAGTAACATCATTGAAACACTGGTTCTAAATTTAACAACACCAGGGAGACAACCTAGACAGTGACACAAATATGAGATTGTTTGCGTTATGACTTCCTAGCTAGAGGCAAAAGTGTTCAGAGTTGAAAAAAATAACTGTAGCAAATGGAAATATTTAAAGAATGATTAAAAGATACATTGACAACATTTCTAACACATATCATTTTGTTAATTTGAATATTCAGCTCAAATAAAACTCAATAAAGAATAAAAAGGAGGAATCTTTACCTGCTTGTTTTTGGCTGGCTTGAAGCAATCTGGGCATATTGCACGTCTAAGTAAAATCCAAGTTAATAAAGAAAAGTTAATGAGTTTATTTTGGGGTGAATATAACTCAAATATATTTTATATAATATTGCTGCTAAATTCAGGATATTAGGAACAGACAAAATGAATTTCTATACCAGCTGTATTGGTTTAATCTGCTAAAACATGACAAGTTACAAAGAGGACTGTTTCATGAAAATCCAAAAGCATTAACAATGTTACACAATTGACATTGTTTACGTAGCAACTTACAGGAAGTGGCAATCCTCAACTGTTTCTGGGTGAGCAAAGATCACACTCACTTCAAACAAGCTCTAAAAATTATAAAGACAGTTTAAAAATGAGCAAAAGGAAACCAACATCTAACCACTTATGAATGGAAATAGAAATTAACTCTCAAAGATTGGCTTCAGAAAACGAATGAGAAGGAAAACTGGAATACTACTGTTCTCAAATCAGCTTGTTCACAGGGCCACTGAAAAGGATATAAATTTGTTGGGTTTTTTGTTTGTTTTTTTGTTTTTTTTTTCACTTCAAAGCTCAATTACTAGTGATTCTACCAAAAAAAAATTTAACAAATTTTGAAATAAATTTGCATGATTTTTGTGCATGTATATAAATTCAATGTGAACATGAAAGAGAGTTCAGGGAACTGGAAAGAGACAACTGAAAGAATTGTTCCTGCCAGTATTATGATTAGGATTATTAGCAAGGCAAAAGCATTTTATTCACATACTTAAAATCTCTGTACAAGGCTTTATTTTTTTATTATTTTTGTGTTAAGGCTTTATTTTTAAGTGCTCAAACTTCTTAATGGATTTGAATTTTAAAAGAGAGATCTTAGCTTTTTATCACAAAAATGATACATACAAATTATAAAATAATCAAACACAGAATGGATTTTTTAATCCCACACCACTGAGGTAGAATGTAGTAACCGTTTGGCGTGTTTCCTTTTAGCTATTTTTATAATATAAACATAAATGTATATACTTCATGGGATATTAAACATAGTTTTGGAAAATTACTTTAATTAATATGCCAGGGACATCTTTTCAACTCTAGGGACTGTTGGACATTTAAGTTGTAAGCTTTTCTGTTATTAAAAAATGCTATAATGAACATCCTTGCATACAAAATAAGCACAATTTCATACTCTATATACATTAATCTCCACAGAGAACAAAAATTCAACATAGAGAAAAACAATAAATGCCACACCATGTAACAATTTATTCTTCTTTATTATTTCTATATTTATTGATTGCATTGAATCATCAGCAAGCATATTAGCTACTCTAGAATCACAATAATGAATAGCTAGGTTTTTTTCTCTGTCTAATCTACAAAGTAAAATTAAAATCACAAGACATTCCTTTTACTCAAGAAAACTTCACTCATTCTGAATCTATTAGAACACTGGCATCTTTTTGTTTTCTATTTTCTGTTCTCACTGGTTCAACATGTAAAATTACTTATGCTTCAAAACTAAAGTTTGAGGTAAAAATATTTTGCATCAATAACTTCTCTAATTTCCAAAGTACTTTCATTACCTCATTTCCTCTCCGTATATGTGTGAAGTGGTTTTATTCTCTATTCTATCAGTATTCAGTTTAAAGGACAGAGTTTATTCATACTAACAGAGAGAAACAGAGCTAAGAATTTTTCTGAATGGTGAAAAAAATTGTTTAACTATTTAGCTTTGAAGGATGGTTTGGTGATTTTACTGGAATAAAGGTGTATCTGATATTCAGGGAATTTCCTTCAAGCAAAATGATAAAGCTATGAGGCCATACTATTAAAATCTAATTTAAGAGAAGCTGGTAATATGTCCTGTTTCCACATCTGGAAACCTGTCGAACTCTCCCCTAAATTCAATCCATTCTGGAGACTGAGGTGAGGTCTGTTCTGGAATAGGGCAGACAGCTAAGTGTTCTGGTTTCAAAGGCGGTGTCTACCTAAAATTGAAAAGGAGGGACTTGAGATACCAACAAGGTGGGATAGATTGGATCCATGCTCACTGTAGTTGATTGATTATATCTGAAAATAAGATTAGCCACAGATAACCAGAGTTGACTATTTAAGTTACATAAGTTACTCATAGTTACTTATGTATTGCTCTGTATTAATATGTGTCTCTCCAATTAAACTATAAATATATTAAAGGCATAGATTAATTTCTAATCTTTTAAAGGCAATTAGGGTACACTATACTTGTTATACACATAAATGTCTTAGATCACAAAGAAGTCTTAAAAAAATAAAAACTTCCTCAATTTAAGACTGTTAGAAATTAATATGTTAAAAGTTTAAAAATCTTCCATTATTTAAAGAGAAGATTATTTTGACTAATCAAAACTCTGCCATATGATGATGTAAAACCAGCGAACAAAATTAACAGTGCTGATGATCAAATACCTTTCCATCAATGGGAACACCCAGTTCCTCTGAAAACAGGGGGTGAGTTATCCATTTGTAGGCTTCTTTTAGCTGTACTATATCGTTTCTTCCCAGCGACAGATTCTGCTTTCTGAATAACATAAAAATTAATTCACTGACATGAAAAATTTCACTTTTTCAACTAAAGGCAAAAATTTATGCAATTATTTAAAAATATTTATTGAGTGCCTACTATGTGCCGGGCGCTATTTTACACATTAGCTAGAAAGTAGAGAACAAGTAGACAAAAATCCCTCAGCTCATGGACCTTATCATCTAGTAGAATCAAAAAACAACATTTTAAATGGTATGAAATAAATAAATAAATAAATAAATAAATAAATAAATAAATAAAATGGTATATAAGATAGTTTTTAAACTTCAAAGACAAAAGAATACTAATGACCTCTTCTGACCTATCATTGCCAGATTCCTGGATTTATACATCAGAAGACAGAAAGATGTAATAGAAGGGATTATGTATTGCTCAGAAACAACAAAACTGTGTATTAGGATAACTCATCCAGACTAAAAATGTTTGCATCTACTCTCCTGATAATGGGGCTTACTTTTGGGAAATCAGTGTACAAGCTGTATTTTACTGCTGAAGAAGAAACATTAAATTCTAAAATATCGATGTGCTGAAATGCTTGTCAATTTAATATCAGAAAAATGTCTGAATAAAAATCTGACATTCCCCCCAAATCTACTCATGAGCCAATAAATAGATTTGGGGAAGTCCCAATTATGATTTCTAGCTTTTAGTTTGAGTTTGAACAATTTTATAACTAAAATTGTTATAGAAAGGAACTGAAGGGGGTGCCTGGCTGGCTCAGTCAGTAGAGCATGAGACTCTTCATCTCTGGGTCATGAGTTCAAACCCCACACTGGGCATGCAACCTACTTAAAAAATAAAAAGAGAGAAAGAAAGAGAGAAAGGAAGAAAGAGGGAGAGAAAGAGGAAGGGAGGGAGGAAGAAAAAAAAGAAAGGAACTGAAGTGAAAAGAAAAGAAAAACATGCATGCTATGATATTATTAAAACTGCTTTGTTATGCTGAGTATAATATTATATCACTAATACATTAACAAGTCCACTTCATTCAAATTATTAAAACTACAAATCAGTCTTACAGCTATATACGGGGCTTCTTTTAACAAAAGAGATATTAGGGCCAACTTGTGAATCATTTCTTCTAATGTACAACTTTCACTGATAGAAAATGACTACTTATATCAAATATTCATTGTAATTTGATTCTTGAAGACCAAAAGACACTACTAACTGCAGGTAGAAAACAAAAAATAATTTAGCTAATGGCTAAATGTAATTGATCTAAAAAAATATGTAAAGATGACTTTCCTCTAGAAATAAAGTTAAGAAATAGTTGATGTACCAATTCGATATCCAGTTGAAAGTATAACTGATTACACAGAATGCTTTCATATGCTTTGGAATTGTGGTTTAACAATGAAATACCCTGATAAACTCTATATCTGACAAATAATCATATTATTTCTCTACATTTAAGAACTTATTGAAACACTAAGTGTTTGAGCTTCATAAACTGTTCCCAATTCTCTGAATATTAGAAACTTTTTAAGTATTTTAAAAGACTATTTGATGTTGTATCAACAGTTTAATGATATTGGCACAATATAGCATCACAGCTGAAAAGTAAATAATTAATGTATGAGAACACATTTTAAAGGATAAAAAGTTGAAACAAAAAAATACAAAAATAGAAAACCATTTAAACATTGCTTAGACCCAAGAGAGTACAAGGGGTTACAGCAAAAACCAATCCTAAATATGAGTTAAAACATTACTCATGTATTTAAGAAAAGTGGCATTTTAAACCCTTCATAGTCTTTTAAATATATTTAGATATCTTAGTCCAGTTGAAAAAAAAATCCATTATTTTTTCCTTCCAGATTAAAGAGCTGGTAGAAAGGGTTAATAGACAGCTTGGAAACCTTAATATATAAGGCAAACAGTTAACACTTAAAATGCCAGATTTCACTTTCTGCCACATGAATGTGGCTAATAACTTTTTTTTTTAAGTTTATTCTTTTAAGAGAGTGAAAGAGGGAGAAAGTTGGGGAGGGGCAGAGACAGACAGAATCCCAAGCAGGCTCCATGCTGTCAGCAGAGAGCCCGACATGGGGCTTGAACTCACAAACCGTGACATCGTGACCTGAGCCAGAATGAAGAGTCAGATGCTTAACCGACTAAGCCACCCAGGCACCTCATAACTTTTCTAACATAATGTAGGGTAAATGTTTTCATAGAAGTCCTTAGCATATGCTTGATGGTCCTTTAGAGGAATTAGTACTCATTGAATTAAATTCAGTCCCAATTTAGTAATTAGTATCACGTTTCCCTCTCTCCTGTGTCAGATAACTACTGATAAGCATGTCAACTGCAATCACTTTTTCTATCAATACAACATGACAGCCATTCCAGAGGAAAGATGAACCAAAATATCCAAGCACAATTAATTTTTCTTAATTCCTTGAATCAATTCTTTAATGGCAATTCCTCTACAATATTTTGAATGTAGAATCAACTATGGACACTGAGGGAAAAGATTAGTAGTTTATATTTTTTCTGTTCCAGTATCTCTATATTGAACAGGATCTTTTGAAGAGCTAAGCTTAGTTTAAAATTCTTCAATAAAGGATAACAACAGCAGCTCACAAGCAATGTGGATGGAAACTGGAAACATTTAGAAAATAGCATTCTCTGTGCCAAAAAATTTCTCAAACACAGGATCAAATTTTATCATTCCAGAAACACAAGCATTTGAGACTAATCTAACACAACCTAACTAAACCCCAAAACCTTTGACAGATATTGCTATTTCCCTCCCAGAAAAGCAGATATGAAAGAGGAAATAAATCAACAAACAAGCCAAATCAATTACTTTTTTTATAAATCACTTAACCAAGTATAAGATTCTAATACAGAAATCTATACTTCTCTCTGTGCTTTTCTCTCCAGAGTACACAGGAACCTCTAGTAGTCACATGGCCCTTTTTATATTGGTATAAAATTTTTAGTTTCAAAATCCAAGAGGGTCTGGAAAGTTAAAGATTTTTTTCTTAACTCGGTAAGCAAACACTGACTTGAACGTGTGAAGCTTTTTAGAGACTTTGTGTATCAAACTTAGTGTGAATGTTCATGTTTCACTGCAGAAATATAAATGTGTTTGATTACAGAGTACCACCTCAGACCATGAGGGGAGGGATATGTTATATATGGTATCTAACACCATACTGCATTTCTAAAACCTAAAAAAATTCTAAGTTCCAAAACATATTTGGTCCCCAAGGGTTTCAAATAAAGGACTGTGGACCTATGTTTTATATGTTTTATCTGTGTATAAACTCAACTGTTTTTCTGCTTTAGTTAGGATTTTACTTTGTGTCTTTTAGAGCATAGTTTTATAATTTAGTTTCTAAGACCAGTATAAAATTTATTCTTTTATAACAGCTTGCCAAACTACATTATATAAGTGCCTTATATAAATGTAAAATATGTATTTACATTCTTGTTAAATCTACAAAAAAATGAATCCACTTTAATAGACACTAGTAAGATGCCATGCAAATAAACTAATTAAATAAGGTTGACACCTAAGTCATACCATAAATTTGTTTTCTTTCTGTTAATTTCTCTAGGAGCTAGTGAACTCACTCTAAAAAAGGAGGCAGTAGTAGTAAAAGTACTTTAAGAATCAGGTAGCTTAAAATAAATAAACATTAAAAAAAAAAAAAAAGAATCAGGTAGCTTATATTTAAATGGTAGAAAAAATTCCCTACCTAAATTACTTACCCCATTTCCTGTTTTACCAGCAACCATGCAGCATGCTGTAGGCAATTTAGTCACACCCAGAAGAAGAGAAAAGGGGGAAAAATGTTCATTGAAATGAAGTTCCAATATCATTACTAAAGTGCTTAACTAATTTGCTAATCAAACTCTTTTTAGGGGAGTAGTAAGTGTTCAGAAATGTGGCAATGACCTCAATCTCATTTAAAGTCAGAAATGAGGTAAGATGCCACTTTGCAATGCTGGGTTACTGTGGCCTAGGAATTCAACAGGGGTATCTCCCTCCTCCCTACAGATTTCTATCTCATTAATGAGATACAAGTTTGTAACATAAGGAGTTTACTTTTTTTCTTAAAATATCTTACTTCTTCACAGAGGAAGGCCCAAAGTAATGGAGAAAAAACTATGTCCCCCAAACAGAATTAAAGGCCTCAGTTTGTTTTTTTTTTTTTTAAAGAGGGCTACACATTTTTAATTCTATCTAATTAATGATATCCATATGTAAGTGTACCAACATCCGTAAGTCACTTTGGAATAAAACGAAAACTAAGATGGGTGGATGGATAAATGGATGACTAGATATACAATAAAGGAAATATAGAAAGAGTAATAATGATAGAATCCAGGTAGGTATATGGGTGTTCGCTGTACAATTCTTTCAACTTTACCGAACATTTAAAAATTCTCATAATAGGGGTGCCTGGCTGGCTCAGTTGGTGGAGTGTGCAACTTTTGATCTTGGGGTTGTAAGTTCGAGCCCTATGTTGGGTGTAGAGATTACTTAAAAATAAAACCTTAAAAAATGCTCATAATAAAATGTTAGAGAAAATGTTCTGGGAAGAGTTAATAAAAACTGAAAAAGTTGCTAAAATGGAGACAATAACATTCACAATCATGGTTGTTATAAGGATTAAATTCATGCAAAATGCTTGACACAGTAAGTGTGTGGCACTAAGATTTCTCAGTCTGCCATTGACATCCCATAGCTGTCACCTTATAGAAAGCAAATGACATGTCCTACCTCAGCATATAGCATTTTTGTGAACATGACAGAAGCACGCGTGTATAAGTCAATAAAATACCATATGTAGTCTCTGCATCCACATGTCACAGGAGTGGCCATTCATTATTGCTATTAGAATAGTAGACCCGCCCACCTCTACACACACATTGTGGTTCATATGTAGAATCCTGTCCTTTTAAACTTCAAAAGACCAGAGGGACACTAGATACTTTTAAAGATTTCTACTCTTTCAGAAATCTTAGGTGAATTACTTTGTTCAGACATGAGCCAACTAGAACTAGAGCTGTTCCCAATGCCTAAACATCTCATCAGTACCTTCTGATTCAGTAGTTTACTTTGCTAGCTTAATCTAACACCTTTGATAGCACTACAAGTCCCCATCCTTCTTTCCTTCATTTACTCAAGCCCTCTTTCAAAGAATGTGGGCATATGGCATAACACACAAATTACTAGGAGTCCGGAGACCTGGCTTTAGGCATTACTAAATTGCTGGCACTCAGTTTCCTAATGTGCCAAATGAAACAATTAGACTAAAATGAATGAACTGAAACTTTTCTGGATGGCAAAAGTCATCATTAATGGGCATTAGTTAGTACACTGTTTTGTAACAGAGGCTATTAAGACTTAAAGGACTTTATGATCATAGAAAAAAGTGAATAATGGTCTCCCAAAGCTGAAACTTGCAGTCAATATTGCCCCACCTTCCTTTAGCCTTCATATTTTAAGAGGTCAATAAATACTTGTTTTTTCATCCATAAAGGGGTATTAATACTCCCCTTCAAGGGACACTGTGGGAATTTAATGAAGTTGTGTATGTAAAGAACCAAGTAAGATTCTTGGCATGTACTTAACAAATAGTAACTATTATTGTCATTTTTGAATTAAAACCTTAACTGCAATTCACAAATAAGAAAATTATTATCCCTTATAAGATTTCCATGACTTGATTCCCAAACTGCTCTGCCATAGGTAGTTCTGGAACTTCTCTCATCAATAAAATCCTCATGGGTATCTAAGCTATAGAGAACTATCTGTCCCTTCTTTAAGGGGACTCAGACTCTTCTGTCCTTTTTTAAAAAAAAATTTTTGAGGGGCGCCTGGGTGGCTCAGTCGGTTAAGCAGCCGACTTCGGCCCAGGTCATGATCTCGCGGTCCGTGAGTTCGAGCCCCGCGTCGGGCTCTGTGCTGACAGCTCAGAGCCTGGAGCCTGTTTCAGATTCTGTGTCTCCCTCTCTCTGACCCTCCCCCGTTCATGCTTTGTCTCTCTCTGTCTCAAAAATAAATAAACGTTAAAAAAAAAATTTAAAAAAAAAAAAAAAAAAAAAAAAAAAAAAAAAAAAATTTTTGAGAGAGAGAGAGCATGAGTGGGGGAGAGAAGGAGAGAGAGACAGAGAGAGAGAGACAGAATCCTAAGAAGGCTCCAACACTCATCATGGAGCCTGATGCAGGGTTCAATCCCATGACCCTGGGATCATGACCTGAGCCAAAATCAAGAATTGGATGTTCAACCAACTGAGTCATCCAGGCACCCCTCTTTTGTCTTTTTTTAGTGAACTTTTCATCTCTGCTTTTAAAGCAAATCCTGTTTTCTACAGTCACTTTCAGGTGATGCCCATCAAATCTGCAACATGTCCTGCCATCCTCTGATTATAAAGTAGGGCAGAACTGGAGGTTGCCAAGGGAGACCAGATTACCATGTGTAACATATAAAATTAAATCAACTGTCTCCAGTACCTGAGATTTGCTAAAGGGTTTTTCCTTCCTAATCCTCTGCAGGCTTCCTGCTCAAGCATGCCAGCAGGTTGGACAGAACTAATCACACAGCAGGGGCTGGAAGACTGAATCCCAAAGAAGTCAGTGTTGCTCAATTATTCAATTTTTACTACGTGCTAATAATGTCCTGGACCTGCTTCTGCTGAGGAAGAAAAGTACATTTCTCTCTTTCAGGTCACCAAGATAATTTTAATAAATGTTCTATTCCTTAGTCAGTGGGAAAAAAATCATTCTCTAGAGTAAGCAATTTAATTCTTCCTCCCCAACAGAACCAAATGGCATTAAAGTTATCAAGTTTAATCAAATTTGGTACCAAAGGCAGTATGTTATCTCCTGAAAATTCAGGAACCACACAACTTAATCCCAGACTCTGCTTTAACTGTATTACAGAATTCTAGGCAAGTGCTAAATGAAGCAGAAGAACATGCTTGCTAAAGTGCTTGTATATTGTGGTAACCACCCCCCCACACACACACACACACCATGGAAAGTCTATGCCTCGGAATGGCTTTTGAGCTTAGGGTTCTGAGCTGGGGGTTCATCTAGCACCAGTGAGAGTGGGTAACAGTAGAGCCAAATTGACACCGATTTAAGTAGAGGTGGCAGGTGGGAAGGACAGAGAGAAAGAGAGGTGTTAAAAATGGTATGTTGGGGAGCTACAATTCAGTAAAACTGGTGCTCAGGTTATATATAATGTGCACATAAACGTGAGTAGGGATTCAACAACTAGAGATGAAACTCGAAAGATGAGCAGGTTTTAAGTGCCATGCTAGGGCATGACTCCAAAGCATGAAACCATAACAGAAGAAGTGCCACATTTACTTATATACAAAGTCCCACGGCAGCGCAAAGAACAATATTTGATCTTCTTTAATTAAGTCACAACAGCCATCATCTGCACACTATTATTTTTCTTACATGGTAGCTTAAGAAAATAAGATAGTTCTTATACCAGAAGGCCTCATTATCCTACATGGGAAATATAGTGTGGGAATGGAGAGGAGTAAGCAGCTTTAAGAGGTAATGGAGAGAGACAGGCAGGACTTGGCGACCAGCAGTGATACTAGGGTTTCTAAATTACCACTAATGCCCTTTTTAAAACTCTAAAAATCTTTTGAATTCTACGCATCTCCTGGACTCATTTATGACTCATAATAACAAAGAAAATGTACCAACAGGAAAATGACAAGAGTTGTGTGGAAAGCTAGAGGTATTCCCCCCATTCTCTCTTCTCCTAACACACACACACACACACACACACACACACACACACACACACACACATTTATGTATTCTACCTTCACACAAACAGGCAGCTGGGAATCAGGTTCAACGACGAGGTCAGTAACAACAGTAACTCTTCTTTCCTCTTCCCAGCATGCCTGCCTAACCTTTCCTTCTCCTCCTCCCCATTCCCCAGCTTGCTACAGCCGTGAGCATCTGCCTCACCGGGGCCTGCTCCTCACTTCGCGACAGGTTTGGTGTCTGGCGTAGTGGCAGAAAGAGGAAGGTAAGAGAGGAGGCAGGAGAATACATTCTTATAACCATTGCTGGGTTCCCCCACCTGGCTGAGGTAAAGACCCCTCCTCACCCATGTCTCCTCACCTCTACCACCTCCCTGCCTCAATCTTATTCTTCTTCTCCGGAGTCTCTGATCTCACATCCATGATGTAATGACTAACAGAATGAGTCTGGGTGTCTCTTTTGATGAATAAAAGTTATGTCAGCTCTGTTTGAAAAGCCACTCATATCCTCTACATTATCTTTCCCTATAGGGTTGAGGGAGAAAAAAATGAAGTGGGGGATTAAACTTTCTCACTCCAGCCCTCCCTAACACTGCTGGCAATACAACCTTTGGACAGCATTAAGAAGACTGAGCTTTTTATTTTTGACAAGGCAAGAGGGAAAAGGCAGAGACAAGTCAGCAAAGACAGAATGCCCCAGAATCTGCGAGGCAAAATTAGGGTGTACAGCTCTACTGACCCAGTTCCCAGGAGAATCCTATTTCTAAGTTCTGAGGTTTAAGAAGGAGAATTCTTCTTGTATTTTCCAATATTCTAGGTGCTGATGTTTGCCTAGCTCTGAAGGACTTAATTGGAAATAACCACCAGAGGAAATTCTGTGGGGGTGGGAAGGTGGGGTAGGATGGAGGAAGGGAGATGACAATGAATGAAAGGCTCTGGGATAGACATAAAGACAAATATCGCTCATGTGGAGTCTAAAAAACCCCCACAAAACCATATG